AGTCACTAGGAGTCAGAACGAACACCCTGGTGTGTTAGCCTGGGTAGACTAGAGAAAGAGCTTTATATACAAGAGCAATTGAATACTGAGGAAACATCCCAGTCCAGTCCAGATCTAGTCCATAAGTCTGATATTGGCCCATATGTCCAATACCAATCTATAAAGTCCTCTTCAGACTCACGTAACACATGCAATGATGCCAAATGGAGGAAGATCACAGGCCATTAGGTGGGAAATCTCGTGGAGCCAGTGGAGTTGTAAGCATCTCAGTGCTGGCAGGGGTCTCCACGTGGCTCCTTCAGGTCCAGGGTTTGAGCTGCCATAAGCACAGCCCCATGTGTTTTGTCAGTAGAGTCTCTCAGGGAGTGATCTGAGAGAGAGTCTCCTGCCTCCAAGGAGGGAATACAGTTTCCTGAATCCTCAGGAGAAGGCCATGTCCACACAGAGGCCTCATTGGCTATATTCTGATTGACAGGCTTGACTTCACTCCTACACTCTTAATCCTCAAATTGACACAATATTATGTAACAACCACACCCAGTGACTGGTTATTTTGCCCCATCAAGTTCTCTGCAACTCTTGACCTCAGGGGTTTACATGTATGTTAGCCTTGATACTCCTGTAAGGGCGGCAGGATAATAATAAAAAAAAAAAATCCTGACAAGGAATGACCTAACATAGTCTGAGAAGACAATGCTTTACCTACTTGGTGAATACCTACGGGGGTGGGTCTCTTACACTGTGAGGACTGCCTTCAGCGACACGAAACAAGATGTGAACGAATGATTGAATGGAAAACGAACCTGCTGTGTAAACCGTCACCCAATTCAAAATAAAAAGTTGAAAAATAAAATCCTGCATCTTCTATGACACCAATTCTCTGGTGGGTTTGATAATTCATGGTAATGACCACACAGAACTCATCACAAATACTCATGACTTTGGGGTGTATTTGGGAAGTAACCGGTTACAATGAAGGATCAGGTACAATGCAGCATGCAGTTACAGTTCTTTGATCAAAACAGCTTGTCTTTAGCATTGCCTGCAGGCAGGCCTCTCTCTGGTCCGCAGCCTCACCTCCTCCTGTCTGTGAAAGTGTCAACAAAGCTCTCAGAGCATCCCACTCTACCAGAAGGTGCTAGGCTCTCTCACTCTGTGGATTGGCAGATCTAACTAGCTTTGCTCTGAGGATAGAGAAACACTGTGTGCTGTCGATTCTTGCCATTTCTGGTGTTACAGCTCTGTCCAGGGGGATCTAAGTGCAGGAACTCCAGTCCCAAATAACGTGCTTCATTTCTGGACCTTCTTAGCTAGATCTCCGTTCTGTTCTGGGACTGACTCTTTTAAGCCTGGCAGAATGGCCAAACTGACCAATCCACTCATTAGGGTTCCATTTGTCTTACTTACATCGTCTGCCCCACCATCACAGGAGCTTCATGCAGTATTAGCAAGCCATCCAATCCCTTGGTGGACCACATGACACCTAGTGTGCTTAGTCCCATCCAATCACAAGACCATGACAAGAAAGGTCATAGAAAAGTAATTCATCTCACTGTCATTACAGTTAGATTTTACAACTAAAATGGTAGAAAAACACACCCCCCCCCAAAAAAAAAAACAAACCCAGAATTTAATTTAGTGGTTCATGGCAGGAAACCAAAGAAGTAGCTAACTGCTGGAATGGATGAATTCCACTGCTAATCTGTTTAAGTATCACTGTGAATGATTAACTTATTCCTTTAATGAAGGATTTCCGCTTCCCTTGTACAGAATCTGCTTGATAGCAGAGTTCTCCTTCCAGGAACACGAAAAAAAGTACCCTTTTTGCTTCCTTGAAGTTGGATGTGCTGCATGGATTTGGCCAATGAAGTGTGAGTGGAAGTAACATGGGTCCCTTCTAGGCAGAAGCACTTCAGAGAGCCCATGAACATCCCCCAGGCTTACTTAATTTTCTGAGGGGGAAACCCTAAGCCTCCTGTGACATGGTGGAATCCCTCCCGAGAGGGTGGGACTTCAGCTTGAGCCCTGGAGTCACTATCATGAGCAGAGGCTCCTGCCTGTCTGCCTTAGACAAGTAGAGTGAGACATTAACTTTTCTGGTCTGTATTTTCTTTATTGTGATTTGGTTAAAGGTTGCAGAGAAAATTAGCTTCACCTTCAACAGCTGCAATCCCACAATATTACAGCACTCTTCCCCCTTCCTGGTCTCCCTTTTCCATTTCTCCTTCTTCCTGTCCCTTCCCGCCTTCTGAGCTATGTTCCCGGGCTGGCAAACACTGCCCTTTTGGTCTCGTGGCTGTTGTTTTTTTCTTCTTCTAAGGAGTGCTTACCTTCCTGGTGTGATTATTGTTCCCTTTATAGACCTAGCCATTATTTGCTGGAAAGTTGAACCAAGGGGCTGAATGCAGTTTCAAGTCTGAAGGGTGCCAAAGGGCCATGGTCTCAGCGTTGACTGCTCTCTACTCGATCAATACGCCTGGTCTTTTTTTTTTTTTAAACATTTTATTAGGGGCTCATACAACTGTTATCCCAATCCATACACACATCAATTGTGTAAAGCGCATTTG